TTGTCAAACTTTTAAAACACTTCTCTACTAGTTTTCAAAGAGCTCCCAACAACCAGGCGCCCTGCCTGGCCCATCTCCCAGGCTGCGGCTCTGCCCCAGCACAGCATGGAAGGGTCTAGAGCAGGAGAGGACAGAGAAAGGGCGCCTCTGAAGCTCTGCAGGCTGCAACTGGTCTGGTGAGGCAGACACATCAGGCCTGACACTGATGGAGATTCTAGCCCTCCCCTCGGGGAATGAGGGAGCAAAATCGAAGGCACGAGAAGCCTTTCATTCTCACACATAGAAATGCTTCACAATTGCTTCGTAAATATTTCCCACTTTTATTGTTAATAGTAGTAGCAATATTTGTTTCAAATTAGCCCTTATCTCTTTCTTTTAATGAAAACAGCTTTATTTTCTTGCAATATATATATAATTAATATATTATTAATATATTAATATTAATATTAATATTAATTAATTAATATAGTAATATATTAATGCATTATATATAGATTTTATATAATTGATGTATTATATATAATTAATATATAATATAATTATATATATTATATGTATTATTAAACCTCCAAACAAAACAGCAACATTTCTGTTTGTGGTAAGAATCTCTGCCACTGGCATCTTTCGAGTAGCTCTGCTAGATACAGGAGAAGCCCACCTCTCGGGGCACAGGGTGGGGAAGAAGGGGAACAGAGACCCTTTGCTGCCAGCCATGCAGGACAAAGGAGGAAGGGGTCACCCCCGCTTGGAGCTGCAGGTGATGCCTGCGTCCTGGACAGGCTGCCTTTGGCCTCTGCCCAGGACAGAAGAGGGAGCCTCCCCAGGTCAGCTCGGACCTTGAAAATGACCCCGGGGGGAAGGACTTCACCAGCCAAAGGCTGGGAAAGCTACGCAGGGGATATCTGATTATTCCTAAATGTTATCTTAAAGAAAAGAGAGGGGCTTTGTTGAGAAGGTTTCCTGCCCGTCTCTGCCGCTGGGAGACCCGAACCTTCCCCTCACTGCTCTAGAGAAACCAACTATCGATGCATTTAGGTCCCACCAAGGAGAGAGGAGCCGCATGACCTTCGGGCAGCAATTGCCCTGAGATGCACGAAATCGGACCGTGCGAGCTGCTTTGCAGCCGGCCTTCGGGCTGTACACCGTGGGCGCACTGCCACGCGCGTGGATATAGACGCTGCCCATTCGCAATGGGCCGCCTCGCATCCCACCATCGGGCTGGAGCGCGTAGCCAGTTGTCTACGGGCGGCTGTTTTACCAAAATTGCTGCGGGGACCAGCCATATAATTAAATCTTCGTGAAATGTTTCCATGGGATAGTTTCCTAGAAGTGGAAGTGACGCCCTGAGCTCCAGAGCCTGTGCACACGTCACTGGCTATCCCCTCTCTGATGGCCAAGACCATGGGTGCGGAATAAAGAGGGTTTTAAAGAAATCCCAGAAAATATGTTCCCAGGACCGGATGCCAGGAATGAAGCTTGCCCTGAACCGGAAACCAGAAGATCTTGGAACTGTGGAGACCAGCCTGACCTCATCCCGGAAGTCAGTCCTCCTCCCTCTGACAGCACCCAGATCATCTCACAGGCCTGGGACAGGGTGACACAGATATGACAAGTCCTACACGGTCTGGGACAGGGGGCTTTACCTGCCAGAGGCAGGTCAGTTCTGCAGCCTTTTTCGTCCAGCCCCTCCTGGCCGCCCTACCTGCCCCTTCCTCCAGGGAGTCAGGGAAGTTGCTGACCTGTCCCAGGGGGAATAATTGTATTAGTGATAAGGTGGCCTCTGGCGGCTTCGTCAGCAGATTCAAGGCTTTGGGCTGGGTAATCCTTTGGCGTCTGCCCTAGCAGCTGGTGGTCACAAATCGGGGGCGCTGGGGGGGGGGAACCCCTGCCCCAGCCCCGCCCGGCTGTCCTCCTTCCCCACACCTGCCTGGCTGCTGCTGGCTGGGCCCGACCTGCCCCAGAACAGGGAGTTAGGCAAGAGGGGAGCCAGGCTCAAGTCAAAACAGGGCGTGAGGTCAACAGAATCAAGTCCAAACACATTTAAGAACCGGCACGTCAACCCCTGCTCGTGTCTTTCATTCTGATGGATTCCAAGTCACACATTCCCACTAGAGAAGATCAGGGAAATAAAGGTAAGTTTAAAATAGGCTCCTGTCCACCGAGTGCCTTGTTGTGCACATGCTCCGCCCACCTGAAACTCTGAACCCAGGCCCTGGAATCTTCCATTGACTGGGGAGAGAAAGGTGACCTGGAGTGAGGTTCAACCCTGAGAGCAAGACCCAGCCCTGGAGCTTCGGCCTACTCCCCCCCCCCCCGACCCCCGCCTCCCAGGGCGGCCCCCTCTTCCTCTGCTCTCTCACCTCCCACCGGCTACCTTCTGGGGCTCCCATCAAAGAGATGCTCAGTCTTCCTCGGGAGCGCCGTGAGGGAAAGCAGGAGTTGGGGGATCGGACACCAGTTTGAGACACCTGTCCCCACCCCTAAGCTCCTCTGCCTCTGCCGCTGTGCGGCCTGAAGCGATTCGCCTCCCCAGCTGTGGGGTGAGGTTTGCGGGAGCGTCGGTGCGATGCTGGGAGTACTTGTGCAGCCTTCCTCTTGCTCGCCTTCGCCCTCGTGCTCCTGGTGGTGCAAAGGTGCCAGAGGACTCCTGACCACTCACGGCTCCGTCCCGAGCCCTCCCTTGCCCCGCTCCCGTTACCCCCGCCGTCCTGACCTTCCCAGCCTGCGCTCAGCCTGGGTGCTTTCCTCCCTGGGCGGGCACCGTGCTCCGGGGTGGCCCCCGCCCACGGCTTGGGCGACCAGTCGACGGATGAGCTGGGGACGGGCTGGTGGGGCACGTGGGGTTGGTCTCCACACCTGAACCCCAGTGGCTCTGTGGATGGAGCCCCGGCCCAGACCAGGCAGGTGTGCGGGGTTCCCAGAAGCCGTGCGTGTGTGAGATGGCCCAGGGAGGTGCCGAGGAGGCCCTCTGGGGTGACTCTGGGGCTCCCCGAGGTGAGGGTCCAGGGAGACAGCGAAGACACGCCCTGAGGTGGGAAAGACAAGCTGTGGGGAGGAGGGATAGGTCAGTCAAGGTCAAGGAAGATGCCCATGGCCCAGGAGGTCAGGTGGAGCTGGAGACGGGGCGGCGGCTTTGAGGGCCGCCCGTCAGGAGGGGTGCAGGTGAGCAGAGGTGGAGGAGCTGCTGTGTGGGGCCCAGCCTGGCACCCTCGATCTTCTGAGGCCCCAGAAAGCGGATTACCCCGCAAAGCCCCTCGAGCTGACTTCCCAAATCCCCAGTAGTGCTTCTCTGTCCCAGTGAGGGTTAACCCCACCTACATAAGGCCCTCCCTCCCCGTCTCCTTCCCTGCGTGATCCTTCCAGAAACTTCTTACTGTTCCACTCCTCCTTGGGCTCCAAGCCTGAGCAAGCGCTGCCCCCACCCCAGAGGTGAGCAGGTCTGCTGAGAATGAGGAGGGTGGTGCCCCCCACACCAACACAGGGCTCCCCGCTCTGTCCGGGGCAGGGGCGGGGTGCACGGGGGCAGAGGGCCAGGGGAAGGAAAGGCAGTTTCCTGAGGCTTGCTGTGTGACCTTCTCAGAGAAACCATAGTAATAACAGCCCCCCTCATGCATTACGCTCTTACTGAGCACCGGGCAGGGAAACACTTCGTTTCCCCAACTACACCGCAGGACACGTACATTTGAAACCCCTTTTCACAGACATGGAAACTGAGGCTCAGAAAGGCTGAGCACCGGCTCAAGGCTGCGGCTGGCCTAAGCCGGAGCAGGTCTTTAAATTGGGCTCTGGGGGCACCTGGGCGGCTGGGCGGTTGAGTGTCTGCCTTCAGCCCAGGGTGTGACCCCGGGGTCCCGGGATGGAGTCCCGCGTCGGGCTCCCTGCCCAGAGCCTGCCTCTCCCTCGGCCTGTGTCTCTCCCTCTCTGCGCGTCTCAGAAATAAATAAATACGTACATTCATATAAACTGGACTCTTTCTGGGCTCTCTCCACACTCCCCCTGGGCCGGCTGGGTCTGAGGAGGCACAGACTCTGGCCTCGGCCTCCTCACCTCACAGCCACTCTGGGCTTGAGCTGCAAACACGGGGTCTGGGGGCAGCAGAGAGGCCAGCCTGCCTGGGACCCTGAGGCCAGGTCGGGGACAGGAGGTGAGGCCGCCAAGAGCTTGGAGCGGGGCTCAGGGGCTGCGTCCTCACGCCCTCCCCTCCTGCAGGCCCGACCGCTCTTCCTCTGCCCCTCACAGACCTGGAGGGGACTCCACCTTGGGCCACGGGCCTCCCTGCCTCCAGGCTGGCCTCGCACCCTACATTAGACCCATTCCCCTGTGTGACGGGAGCCCCCTCGGTGCTGGATGTGCGGGGAGCCCCCTTCCAGGGTCCCAGGAACCTCGGCCCTAAGCAGCTCCCTATCAAGGGCTCAGGTGGGAACCAGGAGGGTGGAAAGCTGGAGCCACAGGGACTACCACACGCAGGGAGCCTCACAGCACACGGACGCACACACGTCTGCCAGACACACAATTGCTCCCAGACACATGCCCAGCCGCCCAAAGAGATTTACAGTCCTGGGGGGACCTGGAGTCCACATCTCTGCTCAGGCTTCGGCCTTGGATGGCCAGCAGGTGGAGAGCACAGGGCAGAAAGGGGGGGGTGGGGACACCAGGCAGCCTGGGGGGGGGAGGGTCAGGGGGCCGCAGGCTCGGGGGCACCTTGGTATCACCGCAGGTGCGGCGGTTGATCCCCTGCGGAGACAGTAAAGATTAAGAGGCTCACAGGCCGCCCGCCCGGCAGTGCCCTGGGAGCAGCGTCCTGGAGCAGAGCCGCCGCTGCAGGGACAGCTGGGGCAGCTGCTGTGTGACAGACAGACAGACAGGCAGGCAGGCAGGAGGCCAGAGAGGAGAGGCTTGGGGGAAGGAGGGAGACCACCAGGGCCGGGGGAGGGACAAGTGGAAACAGGAGCCCCAGGTGGGGACCGGGAGGCTCCGCAGGCGGCGGGGCTGCCCCCGACATGGCCATCACTGGGCCCAGGAAGGCGTCCCCGGGCCGCTGGGGCCTGGGAGAGGAGCCCGCAGGTAGGCTTTCCGGGGCCCAGGGCAGGGGCCTTGGGCTTTGGGGGCAGAGCTCCTGAGGGGGTGGTCGGAGGGTCTGGGGGGGGCACTCCAGGGTGGCCTGGCCTGGGGCTGCCCCGGCAAGGGGAGGGGGCTCCTTCTGGCCAGGAGATCCAGGGTGCTGCCCTGCGGGGGGGGGGTGGAGGGCCCCAGGAGGGGGGGGCCAGGCTGTGAGCCCGCCGCGCCCCCAGGCCTGGGCCCCCCGCTGCAGTGTCGCGTGTGCGGGGACAGCAGCAGCGGGAAGCACTACGGCATCTACGCCTGCAATGGCTGCAGCGGCTTCTTCAAGAGGAGCGTGAGGCGGAGGCTCATCTACAGGTAAGGGGGGGTGGGAGGATGGGGGGATGGAGGATGGGGGATGGAGGGATGGGGGATGGAGGGAAAGGGAATGGGGGCGGGGAGATGGGGGATGGGGGTGGGGGATGGGGGATGGGGTGGGAGGATGGGGATGAGGGATGGAGGATGGGGGATGGGGGCGGGAGGATGGGGGATGGGGATGAGGGATGGGAGATGGAGTGATGAGGGATGGGGGTGGGAGGATGGGAGATGGGGGCAGGGGAGTGGGGACGGGGGCTCTTGGGGCGCCCCTTCCTGCCCCGCGCCCCCAGGAGGATGACATTCGGGGAGGAGGGACCGGCGCCCTGTCCCGGACCCCATCCAGGGCCTGCGGGGGCGCTGACGCCCGGGGGGGGGGGGGGGGGCCCTGCCGCAGGTGCCAGGTGGGGGCGGGGACGTGCCCGGTGGACAAGGCGCACCGGAACCAGTGCCAGGCCTGCCGGCTGAAGAAGTGCCTGCAGGAGGGCATGAACCAGGACGGTGAGGCGGGGGCCCCCGGGAGGCACCCCCGGCCCGGGGAGGGGCCCCCGCGCCCCGCTGACGGCCGCCGCCCCCGCAGCCGTGCAGAATGAGCGGCAGCCGCGCAGCGCAGCCCAGGTGCGGCCCGGCAGCGGGGCCCCAGGCTCGGAGCCGGCGCTGGAGTCCCTGGGGGCCCCGCCGGCCCCTGCGTCCGCAGCCCCGGGCCACCACCACTTCATGGCCAGCCTCATCACAGCCGAGACCTGCGCTAAGCTGGAGCCGGAGGACGGTAGGTGTGGGCGGCTGATCGGGGGGCCCTGAGCACCCCCTGCCCTGCCCCTGCCCCAGCCTCGGCCTGGGGCCGATGTCACCAGCCCTCCTCCCACAGCCGAGGAGAACATTGATGTCACCAGCAACGACCCCGAGTGCCCCTCGTCCCCGTACTCCTCCTCGCCCCCCTGTGGCCTGGACAGCATCCACGAGACCTCGGCGCGCCTTCTCTTCATGGCTGTCAAGTGGGCCAAGAACCTGCCCGTGTTCTCCAACCTGCCCTTCCGCGATCAGGTGAGGGTGGCCCGGGGCCACACTGAGCCAGCGGCATTGTGCAGGTGATGCCAGGGGCCCCCGAAGCTTGGCGACACCGGCAGCTGGCGTGCGCTTGTCTCAGGGGCAGTGTCAGTCAGGGATACATGTCTCAGGGACGTGACCATTGGGGGTGCTCACCTCTCTGGGCAGAGATGAGAGTGGGAGTGCACCTAGGGCCGCACAGTGCCTATGGCGCCCGAGGTCCCCCCCGCCCCGACAAAGGTCCTACCGTCCCCCTGCACGTGATAGGGCAGTCTGCACACCCTGAAGAGTGCAAGCACGCGACCCCCAGGGGCACTGATGTCTCGGACTCGGGGGCTCAGGGTCAGCCTAACCTCCTCACCTGTGCGACCGCCCTGCGAGCTTCCCAAGGCCAAGCTGACTTAGCAAAGGGAGAAGAGGCACGCTGAGGGCGGCGTGGGCTGTCTGCTGAGCACGCCCAGCCTGGGACGCTCATGGGGACTGACCCTGAGGCTTCCCAACTTCCACGGTCCCAGGCCTTCCTACATGTTCCAGCAGAGGCTCTGGAGGAATGAGGAGGGTGTCTTGGAGCCTGGGCAGCTGGGCCAGATTGTACCGAAGCCCAGAGCACTGGGCCCCTGGCCACTGGCGGGCAGAGGTCAGGACACGGCCCAGGCATCTAGGACCAGGGCCCCGGGGAAGGCAGCAGAGGCTCAGGCTGAGCCAGAGGTGTCGCATGTCACACCCGCTCCTCCCTTGAGCACAGGTGATCCTGCTGGAGGAGGCGTGGAGCGAACTCTTCCTCCTCGGGGCCATACAGTGGTCTCTGCCTCTGGACAGCTGCCCGCTGCTGGCCGCCCCCGAGGGCCCCGCCACCGGCAGCTCGCAGGGCCGCCTGGCCCTGGCCAGCGCCGAGAGTCGCATCCTGCAGGAAACCATCTCACGCTTCCGGGCACTGGCCGTGGACCCCACGGAGTTCGCCTGCATGAAGGCCCTGGTCCTCTTCAAACCAGGTAGCTGAGTCTCCGCCCAAGCCTGGGGCTGAAGAATGGGAATTCCAGGGATCTCCTTCTGCCTCTCCCTGTCTCCATCCACCCCACAGAGACCCAGAAGGGGGCAGACTTCTTCCCTGGGGAGCAGTGGCGAGGCACAGGACTGGGCTCCCCCTGCCAAGGGGTCTGGCTGACTGTGGTGGGGGCGGGCAGGGTGGGCCGGGAGCGGGGCTCACTGCTGATGCTTTTCTCCAGAAACTCGGGGCCTGAAGGATCCTGAGCACGTGGAGGCCTTGCAGGACCAGTCCCAAGTGATGCTGAGCCAGCACAGCAAGGCCCACCATCCCAGCCAGCCTGTGAGGTGACCTGAGCCTAGGCCTGCCTGCCCATCTGTCCCTTCACCTCTCTACCCCTCCCCCTACCCCACCCCCACCTCTTTGACACCACCTCTGGTGTTGCTGATGAGATGGCCTGAAGATATGAGTTCACCCAGCATGAATCCAGCATCTACTGTGTGCCAGGCCCCAGAAGTAGGGACGGAAATGAGCATAAGACACAGTGAGAGCCACCCTCATCAAATAGTGAGGGCTCAGACACCCTACATCTCTATCTACGTATCTATACAGGTGTCTAGGACAGGAGTCCGGGCTGGAAGGTGTAACAGATTGCTGCCAGTGAGAAGGTGGGAGCTTGAGCTAGAACAGCACTCTGGGGCCAGCCTGTCCAGGACTTTGGATGCCAGCCAAAGGCCATAAGTGATTTAGTAGGCAGAGGGGAGCCACTGCAGATTTTGAGCAGGAGGGTGTTGTACACAGAGCTAGAGTACGGGATATATGACCAGGGAGGGAAGCACACACTGCCATCATCCAGGGGAGTCCATAGAGTCCTGCTCTTGGGGAGTAGGAATGAAAGGGAGAGGACAGTTGTAGGAACCTCCAGGAGGCCGAATGCGTCAAACTTGGCACTTGGATGGAGGGATATAAGGAGCAAGAGAAGAGGTGCTATTTGGGAGAAGAGGGGATCAAGAAATAAATAGGAAAGTCAGGAGGAAGAGAGAGTTTTAAGGGAACATGACGAGGTCTGTTGGAGCTGCAGAGGAACATCTCGTAGGAATGCACTTGGCTAAGCCAAATGCCTGGACCAGAGCCCAGCCATGGCTGGGTTTGGGGGCAGTAGCTACAGGCTGAGACCGTGGCTGGGGGGTACGGGGTGGGGGGAGCCAGTGCTCTGAGCTGCCCCAGCGTGGCCCAGCACCAGCAGATGCATTGGAGCCTCGGCAAGGCTGACCCTTGGCCCCTGGGGCATCTGTTGGCTATTTTAGGCCATATTATTTGCATTCTTTGGGGGGCTCTCAGTAGCTCGCTCTGAAGAAGTAAGCAAATGCGAGCATCTTCGAATCACCTCTAATCTGAGAAATTATCTCAAGAGGTCATTTCCCTTTAAAAAGAGTCCAAGTATATAAGGAATATACCGTGTTGTCCAGAAAGATTTCTGTTGCTTGGGAGCACGCGGGAAGGGCTGTCCCTTGACAGAGCATCCTAAGAGCAGTCATCCCAGACACTAACACCAGTAGCCCTCCCAGGCTGTGCTTCTGTTGGGATCAGCTCCCAGAGGCGTCTGGGCATACTGGTTTCCAATTTCCAATTCCAATTCTTGTTAAGATTTCCTATGTTACTTCTACAGCAGCTGAATGCCAACTACATGCAGAACTGAGCAACTGAGCTCTGAGAGAGAGGTTTGGGGTTCCCTAAGTCCATGTGTTTCAGTTTGTAAAAACTGCAATACCCAGGAGGAGATAGTTTTCATCATAACTCAGAACACACACAGACACTGAAACAAAGTTCAGTGAAATAGTATCCTAATAGCCTTATTTTGTAGACAGCAAGTTACTGTTTCTATTTTATTATTTTTAAAAAAGACGTTACGTATTTATTCATGAGAGGCCCGCAGAGAGAGAGACATTGGCAGAGGGAGAGGCAGGCTCCCTGTGGGGAGCCCTGTGTGGGACTTGATCCCAGGACTCCGGGGTCGCGACCTGAGCTGAAGGCAGATGCTCAACCACTGAGTCACCCAGGTGTCCCTATTTATTTTTTTTTTAAAGGCTGGTGGTAACCCAGTAAGTTTAATTTCAGAACCACTGGTGGATGAATTCCTGCAATTTGAAAAACAATTTCTCCACTTAACTTTCTAGTTACTTCTTCCTAAAACTCCCTAGCTCAGAAAAACAAGGAAGGAACAAGCAAGAGATGCACAACTGCTCAGTGCCACCCACTTGGCACTTGGAAGAGAAAGAAAGCTTCCGAGTTGACAAAAACAAGTCCCACAGATAACTAGGAGATGAGGGAAAGCCTCCCACAGGCCTCCATGGGGGGAGTTGAGCATGGAGTTGCCCCACTTTGAAGTGACCTCCTTCATGTTGGGCATTGACCTCTGTTGATCCCTCCCATCTGTCCTTCCCCCCCCCCCCCCATCTGTCTTTTGGCTTCACCATCCATCTTCTCTGCACTGGGGACCCTTGCTTGGCGGATGGTTTGATGACTGATTAACTCATTCATTCATTCATTCATTCATTCATTCATCATTCATTTAATAGGCTCCACACCCACCATGGAGAACAAAGTGGGGCTTGAACTCACGACCCTGAGATCAAAATCTGAGCTGAGATCAAGAGATGCTCCACCAACTGAGCCACTCCAGCAAACTCCCTCTCTTAAAAATTTTTTTTAAATAGTTATTTAAAACTACAATTGTTTTTCTCCTGGATGAGTATCTCACCCACAAAAATCATGCCTCAATTTCAGAACACTTTTACTACTGGCTACTCTATCATCCTAGGCAGTTTACAGAGGGAATTTATAGTCTTATTCAAATATACATAGTATTAATCATTACATAATTATCATAATCATATATATGATTACTACATACTATACAGTATTGATAGAAGTAAATTCTCACTTTACAGTCTTTGCATGTAATAAGCTATTTATTCACTGTTTTTATCCCACTGCCCCCATGACTCATGCTCAGAAGCTGATAATAAAACTGATGGTGTCCTCTCTCCTGTTCAGGTTTGGAAAATTGCTCCTGCTTCTTCCATCTTTGAGGTTTATCACTTCTGAACGAGTTGAGCTCCTCTTTTTCCGCAAGACCATAGGGAATACTCCAATGGAGAAGCTCCTTTGTGATATGTTCAAAAACTGAGGGAGGTGGAAGTAAAATGCATTTAACTACTCTGGAAAACAACCTACCGAAGCCAAACGTTTGCCTGCCCGTGACCTAGCAGTTCCACCTGTAAGTATGTGTACTAAGCAGATGTGTCCACAAAAAAAATATTGTAAGAATATTCACAGTAGCTTTATTCATGATAGCCCCTGACTGTACATTGGCAGTAGGATGGATTAATAAATTGTGGTATATTCATTTAATGGAAAACAGCAATCAAGAATGAACTACCAACACATGTGACAACATGGATGGCTTTCACAGACATAAAAGTAGAACAGAAGAACTTTCCCAGGCACAGGTTCTGCTTATACAAAGTTCAAGAACAGGCAGAACTAACTGGTGGTGGGGCGGAAGCTGGAATAGTGCTTACCTTAGGGGGGTGGGGGGTTGGGAGATGGGGTGGTTGGGAAAGGGCCCAAAGAAGCCCTCTGGTGGCTGGAAATGTTCTTGATTTTGATCTAGGTGGTGGTTTCACCCATCATAAAAATTAGTTGTGCCGCGCACTCAAGATTTGTGCACTTTACTGTATTATGTTAAATCTCAATCAGAACGTGAAAAAATAAAAAAAATAAATAAAACCAAGAAAACAAACGTGTTAAAGGCTCTCTGTTGGAGGACACCGAAGGAGTGAGCACGGGCTCTTGGGTTCCATCTGGCTTCCATGCCAAGGCAGAGTCCAGGTGCAACAAAGCCAAGCCCAGCTCCAAAATCTCCCACAGGAGTCAAAACCCAGCTTTTCTCCAGCTGGGGTCCCGCCAACCCACAGGCTCTCTCAGTATTTCTCTTCCTGTCCTTTCTCGCCCCTCCATAAACAAAGGCGAGCACATCTGACTCAACACCAGGCAGCTACAGGCACTTTTTTAAAAAATAGATTTTATTTATTCATTCATGAGACACAGACAGAGAGGCAGAGACACAGGCAGAGGGGGAAGCGGACTCCCTAAGGGGAGCCCAATGTGGGACTCGATCCCAGGACCCCGGGATCACACCCTGAAAGGAGAGCAGATGCTCAACCGCTGAGCCCCCGGGGGTCCCCAGGCACTGTTTTAGAAGAGGACTCTCTATCACGTCCTAATTCCTTATGGAGAGTTGCTCAAACCTCCTCCTTTGCAAAGACAGACCCGAAAGACCTAGGAAATGATAGTAATGCAAAAAGTTAACATCCGTTGAGCACTTTATGACACACCAGGCAATGAGAAGGGCATTGTTATTCATTTTTTTTAAAATTTTTATTTATGATAGTCACACATAGAGAGAGAGAGGCAGAGACACAGGCAGAGGGAGAAGCAGGCTCCATGCACCGGGAGTCCAACGTGGGACTCGACCCCGGGTCTCCAGGATCGCGCCCTGGGCCAAAGGCAGGCGCTAAACCGCTGCGCCACCCAGGGATCCCCGGGCATTGTTATTCAATCCTCAGATTAGCGCTGGGACAGGGACCAGTCATCCCCAGTGATAAATGGAAAAATTGAGGCTTGGAGAGAACTTAAACCCTGGTGTGACTCTACGTGACTCTGCTTAACTCTGGTTCTGCCGTCCCCCCACAGACCCTCCACTCCCGGAATGGCTGAATGATTCTCTTGCAGTTCCTGTCCTCAAAGAAGAAACTTCTTGCTTGAAGTCAAGGAGATGGTTGTGTGAGAAATCTGTGAAATCCTAGGGGTTTCTTGCCCTTTGGCCAGGGTATGAATTCTCCTAGCTCACAGAGATATCCTGCCTTGATGGAAGGAGGTGGTTTAGGACACTCTGCCCTGGGAATGACAATAGCCAGGCTAGTGCCCAGGGAGGAGAGTATGGCAAATGTTGCCCAGCTTGAGCTCTTCCCATTAGAGCACTTAAACTATTCTTGATCTTCTTTACATATGTATGTAAAGAGAAAGAGAGAAAGTAAGAGCGAGTGGGGATGAGGGGCAGAGGGAGAGAGAGAGAATCCTAAGCAGGCTCCACACCCAGCACATAGCCCAATTCAGGGCTCAATCCCACAACCTTGAGACCATGACCTGAGCTGAAATCAAAAGTTGGATCCTCAACTGACTGTACCACCCAGGCGCCCCATTTTCTTGATCTTCCAAAAGCATCAACCTTGTCTGTTATTCAGGCCATTTAATGTCTATAATGCCGTTACACCATCCAGTTCCCTATCACAGGTTTTATCCATAAGGTTTAAAGACTTGCATATAGAAAGCCTGAGCGAAGGCACTGTGGCATGAAAGGCGGCTGAAACAGGACCAGCTAGGCCCTGGACATCTACCCTACCATCACACGTCTCAGAACATAGGAGCGCAGAAGTGGCCTGTTGGAAGTTTGTAGGCTGGTGTCTGGGATGTGTGAGCACAGCAATTCTACACTGGGAGACTGTTTGGGATCTCCAGGAGGAAGTCTTCGGGAGTTAGAGGAGGTATATAACTGCATTATCTGTGGTAAACCTGGCATCAATACTACCCTCCCTCCTAAGGTCCGGTCCTCACTGCAGAGATGCCAGGAACTACATTTCCCAGGATGCCTTCCCCCCTCTGGCTTGCTAATGGAGACAGGCACTCCTGTGAGGCGTGAGCCATAAAGGATGAAGTCATTCTTCTCTGGAGGCAGTTGCAGCCAGCTGTGTGCGAAGATGGGAGATTTCAGGCAGCCTTCTTTAGGATTGCAGTAGCTTCCAGGCATGCTCTTTAACTTCGATCTTTTGGCTGAGATCTGTGTTGGCTTCCTCAACCTTCTATGAGAGCTTCTCTGATCTTTGTTTTTCCAGTTCTTCCAGTGTTTAGTGTTAAACCCCTAATTCTTGTATTATGTCCTTCTTACCTGAAATATGCTGAATGGCTCTTGTTTTCCTAATACAATACAGAACTCAGTTGATCTCAGGATTAATTCAACATTTTGCCATAAATTGGCGCACTGAAACTCCAACGGATAACAGCTTTCATTGCACTTAGGGGTGTTGCTAGGAGAGGGAATACTGTGAAAGCTTTTTTGCCTTCAAAGCCATTAATGTCTTTGGTTATGAAGCACACAGAGGCAACCTCTGTGGGCCTATCTGGGCCTTTTTTTCAGCTGCAGTTTTCAGATTGTGAGACAGTCATCCTCTTCCACCCTAGGGACTGTTTAATGGTAGGAAAGGCAGAGAGAGACACAAGGATGCCAAGAAATACTGTTCAAATTAATAAATATAACCTGAGAATGGAAGCCAGATATTGGGGATGGCTAGTCCTCATCTGGTGGACATCTGTAGTTTTCCTCCACTAAAATTCAAGCTCCACAGGGTGAGGGAGCTTTGTTTGTAGCAATGCATGCAAACACCTGGGACAGTACCTGTGAGTGTTCAGCATATATTTGTTGGATGAATGGCTAAAAGGCCACCCAGAGCCGGGAAGTGACATACTCAACTAGGAAGCTGAGATGCCCAACAATCAGGTATTATCTGTGTCTTACCTGCTTTCATGCATTTGGGAACCCCCAATCTCATTTAACCTGCTCATCCAATATTTAAGCAAGGACACTTTTTGTTGGGTGCTAGGGTTCTAAGAGTCAGCAAGATAGCACATTTCTTGTCTTGCAAACTTACATGAGTTTTTTGATGCCACAAATACTGGGTGCTGTTGAGAACACAAGACATCTAACCCAGTTCAAGGTGGGGTGGGGGTGGGGATTTCCAGTAAACTGCCCTTTATATGGAGACCTGAGAGTCAGTGGGAGTTATAAGCAGAGTAAACCTGAGGAAGAGAACTCATTTTCAGATGTGAAAACTGACAACCAAAAAGGGCCCAAGTCACATAGTGGCGGAATGAAAATAACAACCTAGGCATGAATTCCTGGGCCCTCTATTAGTAGATGTTGCTACTCCTTCTCTATGAAGAGCTTTTTTGGAGAGGATCCTAAATGTAGACTTACTGTTGTCACTGTCCACCTAGCTCTAGGCTGATTAAATGGAGTCTTAAGAGCTAGCAGCTAGCATCTATTACAGAAAACTAATAGCTTGAATCACCTTCACTCGAATTCAGCTGAGTTCCAAAAACTGCTGCTTCTGCTCTTTGTCAATTTGGGGCTCAATCCTTTTCTTAAGCAAAAATCAGCTTTACAAACAAAAATCACTGCTCTTCCTTGGAGTGGAACTTAAGTTTGGGTGGGGGCCGGGATGGTCAGAAAACAAACCACACGTATCGCTGCTTCTGGAAGCTTTGTTCTTTAATGAGCCATGGAGTCACTTGTTCATCAAGCTGCTTTTGTGTAGCTATACAGTGCATGTTCTGAGTGACACAAACTGCACTTTATACAGGTGATGTCTTGCTCTCCCCCCCAAAAAAAAACAAAACAAAACAAAAAACCATCCCCAAAGGAAATTACAAAGTGCCTGTTGATTGCATCAGGAATGTAATCAGTTCCGTGGGTGAGATAAATCATTCTTTTTATAGAATTATTCTGTTAAACAGTAAAATGATATATTTCACAGGATATGTCCTTTTACAATACATAGTCTTTTAAAAATTTACACTCAGCATACTTATAAATTACTTTAAATCCATTAAAATAATATAATACTAATCTGTAATCCACACCTTTCCCCTAGTAAATACAATTAACTCGGTTCAAAAGGTGCACCTTTTATATGACCTAAGAGGGTTGATAAATAGGTATTAAGTACAGATGAACACCAAGGTGATACGCCCCTTCGTGCAGCTTTCTTGAAGAATTTTAACCAAGAGACCAATAAGATCTAATAGATCCACCTCCATAATCATCATTTTGCTGTTAGCTTTTAACACCAAATCAAATGTGGGAGCAGTTCGAGAGAAAAGTGGGTGGGGGTACAGAAAAACAAGGACTCCCTCAAATACCAAAGACTTCTACTACCAAAGCTAGCATGGTGTCATTGGGGGGCAGTGCTGGAAACTGTCACAAAGTTATGGATAGACATAACACATTTGTCAACACAGAATGATTCAAGCCCCAATGCCTAGCTTCCCCACCAAGGGGGAAAAAAAGAG